TTTTAGTCATCACCAAGAGAAAACAAAAATATTTTTCTATCAATAACACTGATAATCAACAATAATTTAAATGAGACACTTTCTACAGACATTGAAGAATTATTAAATCAGCCAAATTTACATTTTAGACCAAATTTAATTTTATTAAAAATAAATAATTTAAATAATAATTTATATAAACAACCAAAAAAGAAGTCAAAAATCGAAGAAAATAATAAAAATATTATTATAAATATTAGATCAAGTATTAGAAGAAAGGATAATTATTTGGCTAAAAATTATCCCTTAAAATTGTGGAATTCTTTAGAAAAATATTTAACCTCTGGAAATTTAAAAAATTTTGGAATTTGTGGAATTGATTTGGATAAAATTGAAAATGTGTATAATGGGGCATTAATTAAACCTAAATATTGGCAGGTAAAAATACATTGTATTTCTTAAAAAAGTATTTTTGTATTTTTAAGTATTTTTGAATACAATACAAAATTCTGATTTATTTTAATAAATAAACTTGAATAATTAATTCTGGTTTTGTTTAAATCAGAATTAATTCATATTATTTCAGAATTATAATTTCAGAATTATTTTAAGGATTATTATTTCAGAATTATTTTGCTGATTATTATTTCAGAATTATTATTTCAGAATTATTTTGAGGATTTTTATTTCAGCTTATAATTTCAGAATTATTTTAAAGATTATTATTTCAGAATTTTTTAATGATTATTATTTCAGAATTATAATTTCAGAATTATTTTAAGGATTATTATTTCAGAATTTTATGAATATTATTATTTCAGAATTATAATTTCAGAATTATTTTATACAATTATTTTTTCATAATTTTTTGTTATTTTTTACCAGAATTATTATTTCAGAATTTTTTTCTTAAGTATTCCGTTTTATATAAAACTTTAATTCTGATTAAATTTTTAAAAATATAACTAATTTATTCTCATAATTTATTCTCAATAATTAAATAACTCATTTATTAATTTTAAATCATAATTAATTAATTTTATTCAATTTAACTTGTTATTAAATTTATTTAAATGTTTTTAGATAACTTTAAATCAATTATTAGAATATTTTGAAGAAATAAAGAATTTGGCTAATAAGCTAAACCTATTACTTATAGTTGATACAACTGGGGGTGTTGGAGAATGTAAAATTAATGGAACTATGAGAACTAATTTGTTAAGAGATTTATCTAAAAAATATGAAAGAACAGCAAGTCAAGTTGGTTATTGTAATATATGTAGTATAATTTCTCTATTTGTATTTTATGTGTTTTTTATTAAAATACAAAATTCTGATTAAATAAACTTGAATTATATGTAGATAATTCTGATTTTATTTAAATCAGAATCTCAGGTTTATTTTATTTTTAATTCTGATTTAAAGTTTATTATTTTTTTCAGAATTATTTTCCAAATTAATATTATTTCAGAATTTTTTATTCTAATTCTGATTTAAAGTTTTTATTTTAGAATAAAATTAATAAAAATTCTAATTTAACTAAAACCAGAATTAATAATTCAAGTTTAATTATTGTAAAGGTTCTCCATCGTTGGCTAATTCAGCATGGAATGATAATTCAACGCAATTGTGGAACACTTAATTATTTAAATATTTCTCGACAAATCTCAATCTCAGATATTGAAATTTGTGATGAGGATATGAATATTTTAAATGATCTTTACAAAAGAAAAGCTCAGGAACAAATAAAAAGGTGAAATTATTTCAAAATTAATTTAATTAGTTAGCAAAAATATATTTTAAAATAAAAGCCATAAATCTACTTATTATTATTAGAATTTTGTATTTATAAAATAATTATTTGACTTTTTTTCTTAATTAATTAAAATTATTTCACTAAAATTTCAGAATAAAATTATTTCAGAATTAAATAAACCTTAATTCTGAAATAAACATCTCTGCTTAAAAAAAGTTTAATTCTGATTTTAAATAAACATTAATTCTGACTGAATAAATTTATTTCTGATTTAAAGTTTATTCTAAATAAACTTGAATTCTGAAATAAAACTTAATTCTGATTTAAGAAAAGTATAATCTGGAAATAAACGTAATTCTGATTTTAAAATAATCTTTTTCTAAATATAATTCTAAAATAATAATTCCTGAATAAGTTTGAATTCTGATTATAATAAATTTTTTTAACTAAAATTCTGAAATAATTCCTAAATATAACTTAAATTCTGACAAAATAATAAATGAATTGTTATATTTCAGAATATATTTATTTTCTATTATTATACTCTTCATAATTTCTTAAATGATAATAGCCTCCTTTTTTGTTACATTTTCCCAACGGAATTTGTTTAAAATATTGTTTCTCTTTTTAAATTTATTTTCATTAAAATATTAAAATTATTATAATTTTACATATTTTTTATTTTTTATTTTTATTAATTAATTAAAAATTTTTTTTAACAAATTTAAATAATTTATTGCCAATTTTCTTTTATTCCAATTTAATCCAATTTTCCGTTCATTTAAATTTCTAGTATTTGATAAATAATTCTGACAAAGGCCCAGCATGAAAAATAAATGTTCTGAGAAAATATATTTTTTCTATTTTTCCTTTCATTTTTCACGCTTTCTTAATTTTTAGATGCTTTTATGCTAGAACAAAAAAGCCTTATTTTTTAATCTTTTATATTGCTTATATTTCTTTTTCTTGTATATTTTAATAAAATAAAAACAAAATATATTTTGATTTAAAAAATTGTGTATTTTTATTAAAATACAAAATTCTGATAAATAAACTTGAATTCTGGTTTTTATTTAAATCAGAATTAAAGTTTATTTCAAGTTTATTTTCATTCTAGTTCTGATTTAGATTTTAACTATTTCAGAATAAAATAAACTCGAATTCTGATTTAATTTAAATCAGAAATATTAATTCAAGTTTTATTTTTAAAATAAAGTTTAAATGTATTTCAGAATAAATTAAATAAACCTTAATTCTGATTATTTGTGTTTTCGATAAAATACATACGAAATTAAAGTTTATTTTATTTTAAGTTTATTTTTATTTTATTTCTGATTTAATTTTTAACTATTTCAGAATAAAATAAACTTTAATTCTGATTATTTGTGTTTTCGATAAAATACATACATAAATAAATAAAAATTAATAAAATACATAAATTTCTTCTTGCCTTAATTCTTTTTGTTTATTTTTTTTATTTTCTTTCATCTCCATAATTTATTTAAAAATATTCTCTTTTAGTAAATCCATTTAAGTGTGAGAAAAAGCCAAAAAAGACATTAATATCCTTAAAATGCTTTCTACAGTGGAGATGCTTTCATCACCCCCAAATTCCGTGAGAGTCAGATGTCGTCGCAGACTTTCATCTCTTCCATTAGCCACATGGCGGCTCAGTCGACACTTTAGTATTGGGTAGATTTAATGGAGGGAAAATTAAATTTTGAAGAAAAAAATATTTTTGTGTTCTCAAAAAAATTTTTTTATTTCAAAAAATTTCAAAAAAAAATTTTTCAAAAATTTCAAAAAAAAATTTTCAAAAATTTCAAAAAAAAATTTTCAAAATTCCCATTTCAGTGTTATAGAAAAGAACGGCAACGGTTTCCATTCCAGTCGTCATTTAATGGGTCAGAGAAGACTTGCTGGGGATTTGGCACTCGGATTGGCCCTTATAGGGATTTCATTAATGATTATTGCTCACGAATGTGCTAATTTAAATTTTAAAATTTTTGAAAAGACAGCTAAGATTGGTTTAATTATTAGTACTTTTGCTTTACTTTTGGCTACATTAAACTTTCATTGGATTGATATTAAGGCAGATAAATCAACTTAATTAATTATAAAATATAATTTTTAGACGTATATGTATCAGAATAGTATACCTAATTGGCAAACTGTGTTAACACAGCATGTTAAAATGAAAATAATTCTTGAGGTAGATTGAAGGAAATTTTCTAAATATATTTAATATATGAGTAAGCTTGATAGAGTTAGGATCTAGACAGGATCTCGAATAAATTTCTCGGCTTGATTCCCGTACAACCTCAGTCCGGTCTCTAATTAAGAGTAATAATTAGAGTTAACTCAGTTTATAGTCTGAAGGCTGTATAATCTACATGAATCCTCAGTCCTATCCAATTAATTAGAAGAATCCTTTCTGATATAAGAGAGATGTTGTTTTTATTACCCTCTTTCTAACAAAGTCAACAAATACGAATATTTTCCAGAAAAATTTAAAAATTAATTTAGAATAATCATATTACAATTAAATTTTACTTTTAATTTTTAATAATTTTTTTAATAAAAATTTCGAATATTTTGTCAGCTCATTGTTTGTTCAATTTGTCCATTGCCTGGTTTGGAATGGCCTACCATCGATGCTTTTTTGAGTTCATTAATGTTTTTAAGGCTTTATTGGTTAACTAGATGCTTTCATTTACATTCACGATTATCATATGATGTCGCTGCAAAGTCAATTGCTGGAATGAATAGAGTAAAGACTGACACAAAATTTATTCTGAAGAGAACACTTTATCTTTATCCAGGTACCTCGATATAAGATCTCACTATAAGACATTGAGCTTATAATAAGCATCGTGATAAAAATTGTGATCACTTAGGATTGCCACTTTTAGTGCCAAACAAAATTTCAAAAAATGTATCTTAGCTTGAGGTTTATCATTTATTGTGTATATCTTATAGCGAGTTCCTCCTGTATATTAATTTTAAACGAAGAAAAATGTATTAAATTTTAAGGGTTGGCACTAGCAATATTTGTTGTAAGTAGTCTATTTAAATTAAAAATATTTTTACCAATTTCAAAAATTTTGACAGCTAGTTTTCTGGCTAATTGGCGGATATATTCTTCGACTTTGTGAAGGGTAGGAACAAAGCAATTTTGCTTCGCTAATTTAAATTTAAATTTAAATTATTATTTAGTAATTTTGGAGATGAAAATTTGAGGAGTTATTATAATGCTTTATGGTTAATGTGTGTTACCTTTCTAACTATTGGATATGGTAACTCCTTAATAAATTTTTTAATTACCCCCTCAATATCCATCATAGGAGATGTTTATCCAATAACTGTTTGTGGAAGACTAATGGCTATTTTGACTGGGGTTATCGGTGTTTGTGTGGCCAGTATGATTGTTGCCGTTATTTCACAAAAGATCTCGTTAAGTCACGCGGAGGAGCGTGTACACAATTTTATGGCTAGGACTAAACATGCTAGAAGTGTAAGAAGTTTAAAAAATAAATTTTTAAAGATACGATAAATTTAGTTAAAAATAACCGCAGCACAAGTACTAAAAGAGTGTTGGTTTTTGTACAAAATTAAAAGTATGGCTGATCAAGTAATTGCATAAAATTTGTTTTTAAACAGATGCCCGGATAGTAGCCGTATCATAGACCAGGCTAGGGTTAATAATTGAAATTGCCTTAAAGTATCCTTTCTTCTTACTTCCCCTAGTATTACCTCTCCCATTAAGATTCCAGTTAAGTATGGATTAGAGTTTCACCTGAAGTTCCGGTTTCTGTTCCGTGAATCGGAACTCAAATTGGATCCGGTTCCAGTCAAAATTTTGGTTCCGTTGAAACACTAGTATGGATCCATTCTATCCATATTATAGTCGAAAAGGACTTTGAGACATCTTGTGTCTTGCCTTTATTTTGACCCAGAGATAATTTAGGTTCGGATCAATCTCACTTTCAGTTTGATTTACTTATCAATCATCCTCATAGTTGCAATTTAGGATAAAGTAATTCAACACCAAAGACGTTTAAGTGCCGCTATATGCACTTTGAGAAGGCTAAGGAAAGAACAACGAGTATTACAGGAGGAGAATGGAGTTTCTCTGGATGATGTAGCCAAAGTAATTTGAAATAAACTTGCCTAAATAATTTCAAAAATTCTCAAAGATAAGCCAAAATGCAACAGAAATGATTAGAGGAGTTGGACAATCCCAACAACGATTAACTGAACGAGTAAATGCTATGGAACTTCGTTTGGAACAGATACATAAGGGAATTGATGTATTAACTGAATTAATTATTAAAAGGAACGAAACAGCAAGTAATGAAACAAAAATAGAAAATAAAATAGAAAACGTGTAAAATTTTCTAAAATTTTCTATTTCTTCATATGATATATTTATTTATTACATGTATGTATAATTTATCAATTATTTGAAGGGAGCAAAAGATTAAAACAAAACTAGGTATGTTGATATAAATCAGATTTCGATGAGTTTAATGCATTCGACTAATCTCAAAGAGTTCTTTCGAATGATATATAATTTGCCATAAAATGTGAAAAATTTAAGGTATTCACGAAAAAATGGGTGGGAATAATCCAAATTATACCAAATAATTTTATATAGTTTATCAGAAAATTTTAAAAATATATCTCTGTGGATGGATTACATGGGATAGAGGACTATGGGATCCCTCTAAAACCACTTTATTATTTTATTAAAATGTTTTACGTGATTCAACTCACGAAACAATCAAAAAAACACAAAACGTTAAGTCGAATTTTTTTAATTGTGAAATTATAATAAAGATAAATAAGGATTTAATACAATAATTAATACAATAATTAATAATACAATAAATTACATTTATGTAAAATTATATATATGTAAAATATAAATATGTATGTCTGTAGATACAAGTGCAATATTTCATTAACTCATATGCGTAGGCTAAGCCAAATTGACTAATTTGGCTTATTCTATGCATTTTTGGGTTATTAATTTTTATTTTTGGCTTATTATTTCTAATTTACTTGTCAATTTTGGCTTGATTTATTTCATAAATGCCATGTTAACCCTGATGAGATGGGCAAAGCCATTTTATAATATAATATATGAGATAAGATGTTTATATATAGCCAATTAATTTTATATTTTTATTCATTTTTGGATTTTAATTAATTAATAAGTAATTTACCTCTATTGTATACACTACGCCGCATAATTGCATGAACACCTCTAAATCAACTTTTTACCGTATCTATGTAGCAGGCAAATAGAAATTTTTACCCTAAACATGTTTTAAAAACGGCTAACAACGCCTTAGAAAGCAAAATTGTAAAATTGTTTTCAGGAAAATTTTTCTAAAAATTAACATTTTTTGACCTCAACATAATTTACTGAATAAACACTTTGGGTTTAGGGAGTTCAAACGTTAGGAAAAATCTACAAATATCCAATAAAAATATTTTTAGCGTTTTTCCTCCAGCGTTTTCCGCTAAACATCAGCGCTTTATTAAAATACCTCACAAAGGAGGGTGCCTGAGGTGTCTGTGGGACTTCGAGCTGAAATTTGGCAGACAGATAGATCATACTGTACTTCTTGCGAAATTTTCACCATTTTCGCTGCGTGGTACCAGGGACCGAGTTATAAGCCCCCAAAGTTTTAGCATCCCTTGATTATAAACAATTTCTATTTAGACACAAATGTGTTCACCGGTGGTGTAGTGGTCTCTTCATAGAATTAAAATAAAGTTTTATTGTAATTTTATAGTTAAAAACTTGAATCATTCGAAATGACAAAATCCTTCAACCTTTTTCTTATTTTAACATTAGTACAAATTTTACCTTCAAATTCAAGTGGGGGTGCATCTTCAAGTTCAGGAAATGTCCAAAATCGAAAACTTCTTTTAAAATTGATTAGAGATTATGGCTATGAATCACTTGTTGGTGTTTACAAAAAGTATGAGAAATGTTTTAGAATGACGAAGGTTGTTAATCCACAAGAATATTTTATTGCTTTTGGACAGGTTTAGTTAATATAAAATTCTAATTTAATAGAAATTATAAATTGATATCACATAGATAGGATGCGAACGATTGTTATAACTTATATTTAGTGGAGCTTTTGTTATTCCTTCTGATATTCCCGACTTAAGGAAAAAAATATAAGGCCATTCGAGGGATTCAGAGGAGTTGTGTGTACATTATTAACAGTGATGCGGTGGTTCCTGAAGTGGATCCGGTAAAGGTCTGGAATCGGTTTGGAACAGGAACCGGCAAAGGTCTGGAACCGGTTTGAAGGCTTCGGCTTTAAAATTAGCTTTTCGGAGCTTTTGATTTTTAAATAAAATAAGCTTTAGTTTCGAAACATATCTGATTTGCAAAAATTAGAAAGAGAACTTTTATTTCAAATAATTTATTTATTTAAATTGCATTTAGGTTCATACGTTCCTTAGAGAATCATTGGAAAAACAAGTAGAGAACAATCAACTAGAAGCAAATAAACTAGACGAGACAATGCATCAAATTATTAATAGCGGATCAGCGATTCATATAATCAACGAATATTGTAAAAGCCAAATGACAGAAATTTTGATTGGAATTAAAAAAAATATCCGAGTATGTTCATTTACTTTTATTTCATCAAAATTATTTTTATAAAAATCAAAAATAATAAAAAAATTTTTGAAAAATTCAAAAGAATTTCTATTCGAGGATTCAAAATTTTTTGACTAAATACATATACATAGGGGTACTTTGTTCATAACCCACACTCCATCCCTATTTAAGTCTCAGATTAGTTTTCCTTTCTTATTGTCAATCATTTATTTCCGTTAAAAATTATAAGTAAAATGCAAGTTATTAGGAAGGAAAAATAGTAGATTAATTAATAATTTTCGGATAAAAATCTGACATAAATTTAACTTTTGGCTTTTTCGGTATAGGTCTTGCGGTTTATTTTTGAATAAAGAGATTTGTTTAATACATTAATATAAATAAATTTTGAATTTACCATTTATCTCATTCAAGAACAAAATGGCAAAGATTATATTTGACGAGGCGATAAAGAAAAATCAAACATTATGTTCAATCTGTCAGGAGGATTTTGAAATAGAAGATGATATACAAATTACTGAATGTGGACATTTCTTCCATCGAGGATGTATAGATACATGGTTTCGTTCTCGAGCTCCAAAACACAATTTATGTCCGAACTGTAATGCTAAACTGGAGATAATTATACATCCAGAGGTTGAAAAGATGGCTAAGGAAGTAGAAAGTACTGGTATTGGCGGCTTTTGGGAAACAAATATAAATTTAGACTAGATGTTATAGCGAAGGATGAAGTAGGTAAAGCAATAATTCAAAGATTTTTATACCGATTTTTTATTAGTACCAAGGGGTCGGTGGAGAAAAAATCAGGGAATTTTTCGTCTTAAAAGAAAATTCTAATAAAGTGTAAAAATCTTTGACTTTATTGCGGATAAAATGCGGACTTCTGCCGCCATAAATTTTAAAAGCAAAAAAAGGAAAAAAATCAACAAAAAATCAACAAAAATCAACAAAAAATCAACAAAAGTACAAAAAAAAAGAAAAAAATCAACAAAAGGACAAAAAAATGCAAAAAAATGTCAAAAAAACAAAAATATCTATCCTTTAAAATTCCATCTATCTATTTAAAATTATGCTTTCCTATTTATTTGTAAATTTTAAATATCAATCTTTTGTATAAAATATTTCCCGGGACAAACATTTATTTATCAAGTTCATATTTTATGTTCTCCACATTTAGATCCTCCTTTTTCCACATTAGATCCTCCTTTCATAATAAGTAGGGCTCGGATTTTTAGATTATAACCTATTTTTTCTGCAAAATAGTTATGATGAATTGAGCTCAAATCCGTTGGGTAATTTTCAATTTCGTTCCCCCCTCTTTTTTTCCTTCCTCAAAGTATTACACAATGGTCAGTCAATCTTAAGTTATAGAACTCGTCGAGCTGTGTCGAATGACACCAAAATCGAAAAAATCGGACTTGATTGGACCGAAATACAGACCCCGGAAAATTGAACAACCACAGGGGCGATTTTTTGAAATTAAAAAAATTTAAGCAAATGGTAGCTCATTCGAAAGAGCTCTTCGAGCTGAGTCGAAAAACATCAAAATCAACGTAATTGGACAAGATTTGGCAAAGTTACGACATTATTTAGACCTACCGGAGTCGATGATTTATGTCATATCTTTGTCAAATCAAGTCGGATCACGTCGATTTTAGTGTCATTCGACTCAGCTCGACGAGCTCTTTCGAACGAGCTATCATTTGTATACTTTTTCGTCCTTTTGGTTTTTCGCCTCCGTGGTTGTTCAATTTTCCGGGGTCTGTATTTCGGTCCAATCTAGTCCGATTTTTTCGATTTTGGTGTCATTCGACACAGCTCGACAAGTTCTATAACTTAAGATTGACTGACCATTGTGTAATACTTTGAGGAAGGAAAAAAAGAGGGGGGGAACGAAATTGAAAATTACCATCCGTTGTTATTTTTTAAAAATCTTTTGTTTACGCGGACTTTTTATCACCCATTGGGACCTATTTCGACGTTTTGAAACCTAA